TAGGTGCGCTTTCAAAACACGACGGCGCTGTGTTTATCTGCCGCCGTGCTACAGTGTGCCCGGATCAAGATTGTTTGGGGGGGGGGGGACCTGCGGTCTCCGAAGATTTGCTCTTGTCAAAGCCTTAAGTGCCGTTTTCGTTTACTTCGCGGGGCCAAAAGTTGGGCGAGCTCGACATGTGGATTGATTGCCTCGCGCAGGGATGCTGTCGTCTCGAGTCTTTCCACTCCACTAAGTCATCACCCAGCCATTTATCTCTGTGTGAAGCCCCCCCCCGGCATGTTCGATAACCACATCTCACGTTATGCTTTTTTTTCTGTTCTCGGTGTGATTTAAAGACACATCATTACCTAACACGGCTGACTTCGGGCGGGTTCATAGGTCATCTGAGATAGGACCCCCCCCCCCCCAGCGCGGCCCCGTCCCCCCGCCAACCACCCCCCCCTCCTTGCTCCTTTGTAATTAAAAACACATGTCTGGCCTTGTCGGCGTACTCATTAGGTGTCTGGTTTTTTAGGGGGGTTGTTTTTTCTTGAGTTGCCAAGCTCCTGCCGCTTCTAGCGGTGTGGCCAAGTTGTGGTCGTGCCCGCGTTGTACAGTACGGTTACTTCTACAGGCTGCGCAGGAGGAGACCATCATCTCAATCTCCGCCCATTTGGGACCATTCGATACCAACCCGGTTATTTCGGCACCGCTCGCAACGTTTGAGAGTGATGACTCGATATTTTTCATGCCAATTATGGTTCCTCTCGTTCCGTGCGCTCTGTTATTATGCTGTGGATACGAAGGCCTCTCCAAGTACCCGACCGAAAATCTTCCATGTACTCTTCAGAAAGATTTCCAGCGTTTTTTTTTTCTTCTTCTTCACCACAGACGAGTTGAAAAAAAAATATGAAAAATGCGAATATCATGCAAGGGAATGGAAAAGTGTGTTCTTCAAGAAGCCTCCGCCATCTCGGAAAATTACACGGCTGTCTCTCTGCGGCCTGAACAGTAAACGAAATAGAAAATAAAAGGAAAGAAACCAGATTTGGGGACACTGGTCCCGACGCATGACTAACATTTTTTTTCACGTGTTCTTGCTCGTTGTCTAAAACTCACGTGGCGTTGTTTTATTGTTGTTGTCCATCTTTTTGCACAACTCCCTTGGTAGAAGGATGAGAACAACAATTTTATTTTATTTGATTTTTTTTTACCCACCTACAAGCCCAAAAGGGAGGCGGCGTTTTCGAACGGAGACGCCAGCGGCCGGGATGAAAGGGGAACACTGGGGCCCCCCTTCATCACAAACATCCAAATATGCACTGAGCAACCATGGATGTAAATGAATGGCTGCCCTCTCGGTCTGGTGAACAGCTGAAGTTAATTGCTCCCATCCGGGCTCACTCGTGACGCTACCTTTTTTTTTTTTTTTTCGCTACAGTCTGAACGCCGCAATTCACACGTACCTGTGCGGGTGTGTGTGTGTGTGTGTCTGTGTGTGTCTTCATTTTTAGTCTTGCTTGCTGTACTTTGGCCAGTTTTATTTAGTTGTTATTCCGTTGCGTGCGCCAGAATGTGTGGACGTTGTTTCTGGTGACCTCATTTTTGCTTTTGTGTGTCATGAGCAAAACAATCAATCCTTAATCAATCCAAAAAAAAGTGATGGATATGAAGCCCCTTGATTGAAAAATCTCCCAAATATTTATGCGACATAATTGCGCCTACCAAAGTGAGGTCGGAAGACAAATTTGATCTTGTTGCTGTTTTTGTGTACTTTCAGGCGTTCCAAATGTGGCATCACACGCTTGAAACCAGCGCTCCTCTTCGCTGTCGCTTCAGCAAAAACAAGAAAGTGGCGGTGCGCTCCCTTGACAGTTGTTTGGTGTCCTCGGATGGATAACCGCTGAAAGGTCACATGTCTGGATTCAATTAACTTGCCACACAGTCTGACACTAGCCTCCCCC